TGCTTTTTCAAGTGACAAGATTATCTTCTATGAAAGTAAAATAACTGGATGTAGATCTTCTAATTGTTTGATCACTTGCCCAATCAGAATCTGTAAATCCTTTAATGTCAAAAACACCATTATCGAGAACAACAAACCTTTGCCCAGAGCACTCTTCAACTATCTTAAGATTTGATATACTGCATTCAGATGTTCTTCACTTGGTGCATGTATAAACTGACTTACTACATTTACAACATAAGCTATATCAGATTTTGTGTGTGACAAATAAATTAATCTTCCAACCAATCGCTGATAATGACCCTTATCTGTTGGAACTTAATATGAAAAATTTTTAACTTATGATTCATCTCTATAGGCATGTCTGCTGGTAGAAATTGCTTGGATCAGTTGAAACAATGGAATTGGTTTCTACCATATAGTTTAAGATAAATAGAAGAAAAAAAATGTGATGGTGATTTTTGAATACGAGATTCACGTTAGAGAATTCCTCTTGAATTATAACTGCTTTGATACCATATAAAAATTTATTCAAGATCTAAGCAAAGAATTAAACTGCTTGATCAAAAAAATATAGAATTACATAAAGAGCTATTTATAATAGTTAACTAAACCAAAACCCATTTTGTGTACAAGTAAGAAAAATAGTAAATAAGAAAGTATTCTAATTCTAAACTTTTTTAAAGTACAAGCAAAGTAAAAAGAGAATAAAAAAATATTTTTTAAAAAATATTCTTAAAAATTAATAATTATAGCTCACGCTGATATACTTTTTTATTGACTTTTTTTTTCATATACTTATGTCTATTTTTTTTTTTGTAGTAATTCGTACCAAAATAAAGGTTTAATGGGTTTATTTTACAAATAATTTAATGTCTAAAAGTAGCATTTCCTAAAACTTTTACGATCAAATACATGTGCAGATTTTTTTTTTTTTTGAAAATCATAAAGGATTACATACATATATAGTTGTAAGTAATTTTTATAAGAAACAGCGTAGATTTGAAGGAGAAAAAAATATATAAGACGATTAAGCAGCATAGTAATAGAAAGTCAAGTAGCAACCAACATCTTAAAGACTATTCTAAGAAGCAAATAAATGTGATCTAGGATGGAAAATTTCCATTGGCTTGCTGATAGACTGATGACGATGCACTTGCCTGGTCAACAATGAGGAAGGCAAGGATTATAAGGGCTATCATCCCTTACCTCCTGTTTAATCCCAAGGAACCTTGTAGCATTCTCTTTTTAACTGTTTCCCTGGAAGGAAAGAGTGAGTTGGGCCAGTTGATTTTTCAGCATTATTAATATCAGAACCAGCCAATGTTAGATTTTGCTGATGTTGTGAGATTCAACGGCAATGAAATTGGAAAATTCGGAACTGTTGAGGCAATTGAACTAGATTGATGAGCTTCAATGCAGTTTGGGTTCACCCCAAAAGAGCCATAAGGAATAGTATTCTGTATGGAAGGAAACTTCACTTGGTAAACAGAAGCCAGAGAAGCCGCCCCAAGCTTCATCTCATTGCTGAAATCCCCAAGAAAACTAGGTCTCAGATATTCATTTTTAAATTCAGGCTTTTGATCAAAAGGAGGTACAATATCTTCGATTGGTGCTTCAGGCTTTAGAGCTTTGGTATTTCTGGCTAATGCCACGGCAGCTTGAATATTGTTAGGCAACGTTGGGGGTAAATTACAACCACTTGAATTAACATGACTGCTGCTTCTGGCCACTGGAACTTCATGATTGTCTTATGCTTCACTTACTTATACTTGAATTAATAGAGATTCGCACAATCTTACGTGAGGAAGTTCATTATTTGTCAGGTATAGTGGAGTCGAGTTATAAGCAATTAGTAGGAAAGGTAACGGGCTGGGCATTAGTTAATTTTGGTTATTAATATTTATAAAAAAAATTTGTATTCAAATATTTATTTATAAATAACATGGATACCTATTATAATCACTTGACCCTAAACTTGAAATTAAAAATAAAATTTTACGTATTATCATGAAAATTAAACTAATACATTAAAGTTAACTCATTAAAACATTAAATTAAAGTTAAAAACCATACTTCAAATAATTTATGAATTTTATAAGTATTACACTAAATAAGTAATATATGAAAATATATATAATTAAAACTTGACATTAAAAATTATTATTTATAATTAAATCAAGTAGTGCATACTCTACTACTACTACTATTCGAATCTTACTCAAACCCAAGACAGTAGTAATTAAGTCAAAGTATACTCAATCACAAAGACACCGATTTACATCCCTAGCAAATGGATGACTATATTATTAACCATCCACATGAGGTGAAGCCAAAAATTGCAACTTGGGGTGTTAGCACACAACATAACATAAAAAATTACTCTACATTGTTTACTTATTCTCTTCTCTTCCACCCGGTCCAACAAGAGACAAGTGCAATCTTCTTTCTTTATCACCTGCAGCAGGGATCTGTTTACTCATGTACAACATTTCTTCTCTCTCTATATCGCAAGAGTCTCTCTGCATTTTCTTGATCTCTCTCTCCTGAGAAGTCAAATAGAAACAAAAGAATTAGAAGATAGAAAGCAGTTAAGTGTTGTAATCTTGCCAACGGGGCTGGAAAGCAGCTGGAGTGGCAAATAAGGAGAGGGCTTTGGGTGTGTGGGGCCACATGGACAACAAAGAAACAAAGTGGCCATTTTCCCGACGCTAGCAACACGACGGCAATGCATCACGAGCCTAGCACTGGTTAAGAACAGAAGAAGGAGTCGGTAAGTGGTCCCCTTTCCTGCTTTCTGTCCTTTCTTTCTTTTTCTTTTTTTTTTTCCCCGTGGGAAGCTTCTAATTTGCGTTTAGGTGTGTTTTTTTGCTTTGCATTATTGGCTATGCGTCACTAATTATTATTATTTCCGACCAATTGAAATTTACAAATAACGTTAAAATGTTACCGTATATGCTCATTTAATTATTATATTAATAATTTATTACCTTTTTTTAATATAATTTAATGAGATATATAAAAGTTTTCCAACTCTACTTATAAAGTTTAAAAAATAACTAATTCTTCTTAAAATTCATTTTTTTTGGGTTCATTTGGTCATCTTAGTCACCCCCTTTATTAAGATTTCTTCTTTAGTGAACCAAGATAATTAAGGGAAAATATACTAACAAGTTGGGTGATTGGATTATATTAAAGTAACTATAACTATGGATTAATCACTCATAAGCCTTCAAATGCATTTAAAAAAAATGAATTAAACTGAATGTAGGTGAAGGTTTTAGGTTGAAGTCTTAATTTGGTCAAATCCACTATCTCAAATTAACTGATTTGAGATATAAGCTTTTAAATTTTATCCATTTAAGAAAAACCAATTGTACAAGTTAGTAAATAATATAAATTGAATTTCTTATTTTTTTGTATTTGTTGAGTTTGTTTACAAAATTTCACTATTTTTTATAAGGATGGTTTATTTAAATTAAACAATAGTTAATTGTAATTAATAGTTTTAAAATTTTCATAAAAAATTAATTTTTGAATTTTAAGAAAAACATTTTGGACTAATTCGGGTGCTGTTGAAATGACCCATAATCAAAGTTAACAATAAACTTTTAACATTATTTGAGTGACTGTAAATTAATTTTTAATGAAAATTCAATAATTAAATTAATTGAAATTGTGGTAAAAAAATAATTAAAATCGTTGATTTTGAGAGTGTATAAGAACATGCAAGTAATCCTTGAGTTTGGTAAAGGGTCGCGGGGAAAAAGGTTAAACAAAAACATACAAGCGTGCAAACGAAAATGGTTGCATCAAAGTCTGTTCCTTAGGGAAGCCCACGGCATCAAAGAGGGATCACATGAAAGAAGGGAACGTGCACACACGGCGTTCTTTAGCGTGTGGTGGGCCAAAAGTGAAATCATTGCAGGACTGAGTCAGATTTTCATGAGCTGGCATTGTTTTTATTTCATGTGAAAGTCATTTTAAGAAAATTAGACAGAGAGAGCATCCCATGCATAATAATACAATTTTATTTTTTTTAATTTAAAAGAAAAAAAACAAACTAGAAATTATGAGCCCCTACCGTGCTGCTGGATCATTTTTCTTTAAAATGGAAATAAGTAAAAGCTTTTATTAATCCTTTCTTAATTTATTTTTTGCATTGATATTGATATAATAAGATTCATCAATTATAATAATGCATTTTAAAAATAAAATAAATTTACGTGTTGTCAAGGCAATAAGAATTTTTTTTAATATAATAAAAATTTTATTTGAGTGTTTTAGTTTAACGATATTGAAAATCTCTTAAATCAATCTAACAGAAAAGTAACAAAAAAAAAATCAATCATAGTGATTTTATTTATGTGATGATTTATATAAGGACAATAAAATTTTAAATATATGAATATTTAAATTTGTAATGCTTATTATTATAATTTAAATATTCGAGTATTTAAAGTGCAAATGATGCGAACCCATTTGCCCATTCATAGGGCCTCCTTGTTCCTCTTTTACTCGTCCACTTAACTTAAACTTTGAGGGAAAAGATTTAGGTATCTTGGTTGACTTTGTTTGCAATTTTTTTATATCTTTTTGTTAAAACTAAAATTGTCGATCTTAATTCTACATGTATATATGGCAAATAAATTGATAGCACCTGAATGTTGGGCTTCACCAAGACATTGAAAACAATGGTTACTTGATTTAACAGCTGAAGAAATTTTCGCTACGAAGACCACCACATTGCTGCTACTGCTAACAATAATAATATTTTTTAATATACTTTTTGTTACGTATACTTCACAATTATAATAGTTTTTTAAGTACTTGATATTCATATTTTTTATATGTTAAAATTATTTTTCAGATTTTTTAAAGAATTTTTTTACATTAATTTTATAAAAAATATAAAATTATTTTTTAAAAAAATTCTATGAAAAATCCAAAAAAAAAATAAAAATGAGATATTAGAAGTGATCATAATAATAAAAAAGCTCTTAAACTCTAATAAAAGTTCTAAAGAAAACATGTATACGATGGTGTCACTAATCTTATATTAGTAAAAAATAAGAAGATTTTGAGAATATAAATATGAGTCTTATACTACTTATTATATATATTTTTTGAGTTGATAATATGAGCCGTGATTTATAAGTTTACTTAAATTTTATTTTTAGAGTTTAAGGTCGCACGTGGTTGGGTTTAAGTTTCGATTTATGACATTTGGTATCAGAGTAAACATAAATCTTCATTGATGTAAAACTTTTATGAAAAATAAATGAGTTGAGAATATTACACAATTAAATAAGATAGAATATAACGAAATTCAAATAAGTAAACAATGAGTTGGGTTAAATATAAACATAAATTTTTTAACGTTTATTTGATATATCTTTTAGATTAAGAATATGAACTTGCGAAATAAAAATAAAATCACAGATTAGTCATAATTATGAAATGTGCGTTTAATTTATATTCATTTTAAGAAGGCAAATAATTGTGGACAGCAAAGCCAAAACATCACTTGCCTTATATAGCCAATTTCAAGTAAATCCTGTACAAGACTAATTAATCTTCAACCCATTCATACATTGATTCACACCAGCAGCTGAGTAGAGGAAAGTTTAAAAAGGATTGGTTGAATGAATGAGTGGAGTTTCCCAACCCCAACATCAAACCCTTTCGCTTATAATAACTCCATTCACAATTCTCCTCCTCAGTCCCTGAGTTTGCATTTACATTTTTCGACTGTTCAAACCGTTGATGCATTGAAGAAATTGTAAGTTTGTGGCGTCGCTTCTTCGTTCTTGCTTGGTATATCTAATTGAAGCAAGAGAAGGAAGGGGAAAGAGAGAGACAAAGGTTGGAGAGGGACACGTTGGGCTCAGGGGTGAAGCAATAATGTGAAAGCACTAAGCAGAGAAGAGAAAAAAAAGAAAAGAAAAAGAAGGGAAGCATGTGGGGTTTAGGGAGTTTTTTCCCCTTTATACAACCTGTATAGGCAAAACTCTGTCTTTCTCTCTTTCTCTTTATATCTTTTTTTTCCTTCTGTCTTTAGTCCTACCGGTACTTGCCCATCTCATTTTCATCTCATCCTTCCAGATTTTTCTCTCAATCGACTCCGTCTTTTCTTTTCTTTTCTTTTTTTTAATTTTTAATACTGGGTTACTCTCAACCTCTTCCTTCTATTCTATCTACAGGGTTTTTTTAAATTTTTTCCGGAGCTTCTTCAATTCGACGAGGGAAAGGAATCTAAGGGTTGGCCGAGGGTCTGCAACGGTTGGAACCTTCAAGTATGGATTTGCAACTCCTGCTTCTTTGAGACAATTTACTGTTACTACAAGGTGTCCTCTGTTATTTATTATAAGTAGTAGTAATTGTAGTATCATTTTTGTTACAGAACGGAAGAATTAATTGCTTGAATACATAGTTTCTTAGACAACGCTAAGCCTGAGTTGCATTGTAAATGAATTTCAAGATTTTGAAGCATCGATGGGGCTTCTTGGAAGTCTCGCGATGCTGGTACCGTTGATGTGCTTATTCTGGTTACCGGTTCTCATCATGGCTCAATCTACGCCTATGAATGGCTCTGCACGAGCACTCGATGCTCTTCTGCAAGACTATGCATTCAGGGCCTTTGTAGCACGCCCAAAGACAGGAATCCCCTACGATGGAGTTGTTCCATCTAATTTGAGTGGGATTAACATTACAGCAATGAGGCTGAGGAGTGGTAGCCTGCGGAGCAAAGGTGTGAAAATGTACAAGGAGTTCGAGATCCCCATTGGTGTTGTGGAGCAGCCTTATGTGGAAAGGCTCGTTTTGGTATACCAAAACTTGGGCAATTGGTCTAAGCTGTATTATCCACTTCCCAACTACTCTTACCTTGCTCCTGTTCTGGGTCTTCTTGCTTATAATGCTTCTAACTTATCAGCTACCAATTTGCCAGAATTGGATTTTAGGGCATTTGGTGATCCTATAAAAATCAAGTTCTCAGATGTGCAATCCACTCCGGATGGGTCAGTTCCAATGTGTGTTTGGTTTGATTTACATGGTTCGGTCAAATTCAGCAATGTGACATCCGGGAATGAGTGTTCAACCATCCAGCAGGGGCATTTTTCTGTAGTTACTGGGTCTATTCCGCCATCAGGTGGAGGTGAAGAAAAGAAGAGTCATAGAAGAGTCTGGATAATTGTTGGTTCTGTTCTGGGCGGATTGGCATTGTTGGTGTTGTTGGCAGTCCTGGTACTGTGGGTACGCAAATGCAAGCAGACAAAGGAAATGCAAGAGATGGAGAAAGCTGCAGAAGTGGGAGAAGCCCTACAAATGACCTCCGTTGGGGATACAAAAGCACCATCAGCAACGGTCACTCGGACTCAACCAACTCTTGAGACCGAATATGTGCCCTAATTTACCAACTTCATGTTGTACAAGCCTTAATTTCTTAATCCAAGTTCAATTCCTGTGTTGATAAATTCTTCTTCTCAAAGCCTCACACCTAGTTTTGGTGGTTTGTTGATGTTCTGGGTAGCCTATTGAATGTGCTGTGGGTAATACTATCGGATTTTTGTCTAAATCTGTTATTATTGCTCACAAATCCTTTCATAGTTTTATGATTCATTGTGGTGTGCATGTAGCCAAAAGTGATTCTATTTTATATGTCATGAATTTAGTTGTCTCATTCATAAGGAATAAAGCTTCTTCTTTTTTCTTCTTGGGGTGCCTTGTTTTTTTATTTTTCTGGATATACTTTTGTCTGTTTCTGTGGAAATGTAGGATGAAGATTGCTTTGTAATCAAAGCAGGTTGACAATAAAGCTTGTCTCCAACTGGCATTGATTTGAGGCAAATGTTAGACTTGCACATGTATGGTTCTGAGTCAAAAATTTTCAGTTTTTCGTATCTGTTACGAAATCGAAATCGGTAATTTTCCTATACGCTGGCTATATTTTCAGATTGGCTGCTACAGAGAACTTTATTCTAGGTTCTTTACTTTTAGCCAATCTTGTAACTTTCTGCATTCTGTGAACTTTTCCTAAACGATGGATTTTTCTTTCATAAGCCAGAGGAGATAGGGTCCAAGACAAATGTTTGTTTTTCTTTCTATGGTGGTAGGTTTGAAGAAAGTTAATAATCTCCTAGCGTAATGATTCTAGCAAAAAGGAAAAAAATAATATTATCTGTAAGAATGTAAGGTATAAGAGGTAGGGGAGCAGGGTCCAACCCCTTAAATTGGTAATTACAGCTTGTCACACTGCTACAGCATCCGGTAGAGATGCCACTAATTGTGGCTGCTGGGACACTGAGTGGTAGTTGGGTACTACTACTACCAAGTATTGGAATGGCACCCTGCATAGTCCTGCACTTGCTGCTCCAGGGTAAGGCCCTGCTATAGTCCCAGTCCAGGACCCCCAGGGGCCCAGGTGAAGGTTTAAGTTTTTACCCGTATCCAATTAGATAGTGAATACTACAAAACATAATCATAATTAACTCGACTGTTGATAAGTGGGTCTAATAATCTGCAGATCATCAAAACCCCAACAGGAACATAAAACAAGCATCCATGTCGAAACCTATGGGCAGATTACTGCCGGTCCTTGTTTCTTCTTTATGGTTCTGGCCTTTTAAAAGAATCCTCTCTGCTATGACTTTATTAGCAGGTAGTGACGGGTCCCTACAGAATTCTTGTTACTTTCTATCCTCGTTAGTTGAAGCTGTGCCTGTTGAGCCTGTCTTTCCCACCCATATAGTTAAAAGTGGCAAAACAAAAGTTGGCATAGGCTCCCCTTTGATCTTTTCTGATAGTATTTGTATTAAATTTAAAAAATATGCAAAGAGACTATTCATTTGATTTCGAATCTTATTTCCGGAGATGGTAGACGAGAGCCAAGAAGAGCATTTATTAAAAGTTATTATGGCCCCCAACAAGGCACACATGAGGTTTATTTTTTTATTTATTTAAATTGTTGGGAGTCTATCAGGGTTGGGCACCACTAAAAGATCAGTTGATAGGAGCCTTCAAAAAAAAAAAGAAATTATTCAAGACGCCTCTGTCTTGTCTTATCGTTTTCATCTTCTCTTTCAAATTTTGTACTGCTTCTTCTCTCTTTACCAACCTTCTCCTTCTTCTTCCTCCATAGGTCTCTAGAAAACTTGGAAGCAAGGATGAATATTTTGGGTTTATAACATTCAATTTTTTATCTCTCAGAAGGTTTGAGGAATTGGGCACGCAATTTCCATGTTTCGGGGTTGTCCATTGTCACGTGCCATGTCTGACTGAATGTCTTAACATTATATGTTGCAATAGGAGCCGCATTCACATGTTAGACACAACAGGGATTAAAAACAGGTCTTTTTTTGTTTTTCCAACAATAAGCCAGACATCCAGGGGACAGAGATTGATTAATGGTTCCATTGCCAGGAGAATTTCTAAACGGTTAACATAATTCAAATAAATTATATCATGAATAAATAATTGTATTGAACAATTGGCGACAACAATAATTATTACCAAAATGGTCGAAGATGCAAGAAATCTGTATTCAAAGTCGAATTTTTTTAAAAGAAGAAAAGAAAAAGTTATTGCCTACGGAGGCAAGTGTAGAATCCGAAGCTAAAGCTAAAGCTGTTTCTTTCTTTTGGGCCTCATGAGATCTTCGGTTTTGGGCCGAAGCTAAAGCTGACAAGTCACAATGTGAGAGTCAGCACCCTCCCTTAAACCCTAACAACATTTCTCTACTCAACTCTCTGCTCTTCTTCCCTGCTTCTTCTGTTTGGATCTTCGCATCCTACATTTCTTGAATTCAATGGCTTTCATCTCAGTGTCTAAAACGTACAAATTGAAGCCTAGGGTTTATCCCATAATCTCGAACCCTTTGCATTTCTTCACGACAAGCCAAGATCCAAGCACAGCATCCCAGGAGTTGAACAATGCGCCACCTCAACAAGAAGAAGAAAAAGTGGTCACCCAGAGAACCTCCCCGCGAGGTAAGACTCGAAACCCGGAAAAAGTAGAGGATGTTATTTGTAGAATGATGGAGAACCGAGCATGGACGACCCGCTTACAGAACTCCATCCGGGCTTTAGTCCCCGAGTTCGATCATGCATTAGTTTATAATGTGCTTCACGGTGCTAAGAACTCGGAGCAGGCCCTCCAGTTCTTCCGGTGGGTGGAGCGGGCCGGATTGATCCGCCATGACTGTGAAGCCCACATGAAGATCATTCAGATTTTGGGTCGAGCTTCCAAGCTCAATCATGCCAGGTGCATACTTCTAGACATGCCCAAAAAGGGCGTTGAATGGGATGAGGATTTGTTTGTAGTTTTGATTGATAGTTACGGGAAAGCCGGCATCGTTCAAGAGGCTGTAAAAATTTTCCAGAAAATGAATGAGTTGGGTGTGGAGAGGACTATCAAGTCTTATGATACTTTCTTTAAGGTTATATTGCGACGTGGTCGATATATGATGGCCAAAAGGTATTTTAATAAGATGTTGAGTGAAGGGATTGTGCCCACTCGTCATACCTATAACATCATGCTTTGGGGTTTCTTCTTGTCACTGAGACTTGACACTGCTAATCGGTTTTATGAGGATATGAAGACTAGGGGCATTTCACCCGATGTCGTGACTTATAACACAATGATTAACGGATATTCTCGGTTCAAGAAAATGGAGGAGGCAGAGAAGTTGTTTGTGGAAATGAAGGGTAAGAACTTAGCGCCTACAGTTATCAGCTACACTACCATGATAAAGGGGTATGTTGCCGTAGAGAAAGTTGATGATGGATTGAGGTTATTAGAAGAGATGAAGTCCTTTGGTATCAAGCCTAATGCAACAACATATTCAACTTTGTTGCCAGGGCTGTGTGATGCAGGCAAAATGACTGAGGCTAAGAGTATTTTGAAGGAGATGGTGGAAACGTATATTGCTCCAAAGGATAATTTGATTTTCATCAAGCTGTTAAATAGTCAGTGCAAATCTGGGGATTTGGATGCAGCTGCTGATGTGCTCAAGGCCATGATACGATTGAGTATTCCAACAGAGGCTGGTCATTATGGTGTATTGATTGAGAACTTTTGCAAGGCAAATATGTTTGATCGGGCAATTAAGTTGTTGGATAAGCTTGTTCAGAAGGAAATCATCTTGAGGCCACAAAATTCTTTGGACATGGAAGCTAGTGCCTATAATGCAATGATTCAGTATTTGTGCCACCACGGTCAGACAGGAAAAGCAGAAGTCTTTTTCCGGCAATTGATGAAGAAGGGTGTTCTGGATCCTACTGCATTTAATAATTTGATCTGTGGGCATGCAAAAGAAGGGAATCCTGGTCTTGCCTTTGAAATTCTAAAGATCATGGGTCGGAGAGGGGTGCCCAAAGATGCAGATGCTTACAAGCTGCTTATTGAGAGCTACCTAAGGAAAGGTGAGCCTGCTGATGCTAAAACATCATTAGATAGTATGATTGAGGATGGGCTTCTTCCTGAGTCTGGCATATTCAAGTCTGTGATGGAGAGTTTGTTTGAAGATGGAAGGATTCAGACTGCAAGCAGAGTTATGAAGTGCATGGTGGAGAAGGGAGTGAAGGAGCATATGGACTTGGTTGCTAAGATCTTGGAAGCTCTCCTCATGAGAGGTCATGTCGAAGAAGCCCTCGGACGAATTGAGCTACTGATGCAAAATGGGTGTGCACCCAATTTAGATAGCCTTCTATCTGTTCTGTCTGAGAAAGGTAAAACTATTGCTGCTCTCAAGTTGTTAGATTATGGTTTGGAGAGAGACTGTAGCATAAACTTCTCAAGTTATGAGAAGGTGTTGGATGCGCTCTTAGCTGCAGGAAAGACTCTCAATGCATATTCAATATTGTGTAAAATAATGGAGAAAGGAGGGATCACTAACTGGAGTAGCCTTGAGGATTTAATCAAGAGCCTTAACCAGGAGGGGAACACAAAGCAAGGAGATATACTCTCTAGAATGATAAAAGGAGGGGAGGCAGCTAGTGGAAGCAAGAAAGGGAAGAAACAAGCAACAGTTGCTAGCTAAATTACCTTTTGATTAGAAAATTTTTGGGTAGTTATATTGTGAGTACTATGATCATGAGTTTCGTTATCAGCAAAAATAAGTTCTGAAAATTGCCATTTGTTCTTCATTTCCAATGCAGGGAGGTAACAGCTTGATTAGCTCATATGCCCCTTGACACCTAAAATATTCTCACTTGAGTCTTGTTGGTTTCACTTGAAGGATTTCAACCCTGAGGAATATAAGGAAAAGATACAGTGGAACTGCGGAAGTTCTTATCATGAAATGTTTGCAATTTCCATCATATTTGTTCCATTCAACTGTCTTTAGAGAATCATGCATCAGGTTGTGCAAATTTGCAGCGTCCGATTTATTACTGCTCCTTGTACCCCCTTGTTGCTAGAACCTTCTCCTTGGTAGGTCAGTCCATTTTTTTTCCTTTAGGATTGCCTCATAAATGGCTGATTATTTAGGATTTTGATCCATTGGAACATCTATGCTCCGATGTTTGTATTCAAATAGTAATGATCATTGTTTCAGAACATTCAAAAAAATAGTAATGATCATTCTTTCTGAGATTAAATTTTAATAATAATAACAACCATAATTGACTGTTACCAAAGGGTATTTCAGGTTTATTTGATATATTAAAGCTGAAATTTCAGTCCGTGTTTACGCCCCCAAAATCAATGTCAGTCCTGCAGCTGCTGTATCTAAGACACCGTTAATAGCATGCAATGCCTAATCTACTTGAGATGAGGACAAAAGCGAACTGCTTATACAAAATTAAGAAAATCCTCCAAAAAATAATTTACCATGCACAAACACAAAACCCTACTTCACCATTCACTGTTTCCAAATTTCTTTTTCAACTTCTACTCAAACTCAGATAAAATTAAAAAAATACCTCCTTTAAATTCATAAGCGCTGGGTGATCCAGACACAGTAGACACATGGAGGGTCATGAGGAATTTTAAAGCAACAATCTCCAATACACCACCAACTCTAGCAACTGTTGTCGAAAAGGGAAAGAGTTTAGAAGTTCTGCAAATTCACATTACAAAGAAGAATAAAGTACAAAGTCCGGTAGCTCTTTAGTCTTCTTCAGCAAGACAGAATATCATAGAGCACATTTATTTCTTCTTCCTCACGCCATTGGCCAAGTTTCCTACATTTAGCACCAAATATCATAAGCTTCTAAGCCAGTATCAAAGAGACACAAAGTTAGTAGAAATATGTACACAAGGCAGGATGAAGGACAAATGTCTTTTTTTTTTCCTTTTTCTTCTTTTAGAGCAGAGAGAGAGAGAAAGAAAAGAAGTGTTTGGTCTTATAATCAATCCCCATGAAATATATTATAACACTGCATAAAGGCTCTTTGGAAACCTGTTATTAGAGACTTGTTTTAACTGCATGCAAACAACTATATCCTATTTCAACATAAAATATTGTCCAAAAAGCATAGACAAGTGACATTACTAAATCCCTTCCTTTTGTATGATGTGCAAAGTAACTAAAATAAATCAGCACTAAAACTAATCTTCTGATGGAGTGCCTTGCTAGCAGTCTTCTCTCAAGCAGGCTAGTGTGTTATTGTTAAAATTTGCCAAATGCACTATCCTTAAAAAGTTTATATAAAAAAAATAAAGAAAATAAAAAACACAAGAGCCAAACCATTTAGAAAGGATGAAGTAGAATGAGCATTAAAATGGAATTTAACCAAGTATGCATAAACAAGAATCACCTCCTACGAGGAAGGAAGCACATGGTCTGTCACATTCACATAAGAAGTACAAACATGATGAAGTTGTAACATTTCGAAACAAAGGCTGGCCTTGTCAGTAGATAGTAAGATATCCCACAAATATATTCAATAGTCAGCTCTGAGACAAACCACCAACTCAGCACATTTGAATGGACATACAGATCAAAATCATTTCCAGAGTTGTTAATCATGGTAGTTAACAAATCATTACAGGGATGAAACTACTGTCCTTGGAAACACGAGGTGGAGCTAGATTATTGGATGGAGAAAGTTCAATAACATTAGGCTCCATAATCTTTGCACAAAATCAGCTGTGGATTTGACTTTTCTTTTTTCTTTTTTCTTTTTTTCTTTTATTTCCTATAACTCTCTGCACAAAAGTTAGGTAATCCCTCTGCTTTTTCTATTATTAGTTAGACTTTGGTTTTCCTCTTTTTCTGACATTAAGACTTCAATTCTTGCTCAATCTTCTATGTTTAAAATTCATATGTACAACAATGAACTACAACATCTGGAATTTGAATATGCTTGACGCATCAAAAATAATATATACCTTTTCATACTTGATTTTAGAGTTTTCATTCCCATATTAACCTTTTGTTTGATTCTATTTATAAATGTATTACTTTTATCTCGCCTTCAAAGACAAATTCTCTGGCTCCAACACTGTTGGAGACTGATTTACAATTTCTTTACCTTTCCAAATATCTATGTGCCTTTTTAGTCTCTTGATTAATACATTTTGATGGAAAGGAATATTAGTTTATGTGTTCAGTGTTGGAAAATTAATAACCTATGATTGATTTCTAAGCAGAATGCAGAAGTAAATGGAAAAAATCAAGATTAAATAAATCCTGCAGCTAAAAACAAATACAGAATAAATGCATTGAAAACACTGAAGGCAAAATTCCCCAATGAATAGAAAACAGAAATTTGACTGAAAACCCTAATAAGTTGACATATGCAAATCAAGGACAAGGAATGGAAAAGCAGCGGGTGCTTCTGTACTGAAATCAATAAAGATTAAGCGAAAACATCACTAGAAAAATAATATTTGAAAGAAAAACAAGTACCAGCAGTTAAAAAGAGATCAATTAGAGGAAGAGGCAGAGAGGTTTTCGAAGAGCTTTTTATCCCTTCTTTCCATGGCGACGTCCCACATATCGTTGCCGATGTGCTTGGGCTGTTTCAATCAAATAAATTTTCAGTTGAGGAAACGTAGAAATCGAAGGACGTTGAAGGAATCGATCCAATAGATATAATAAATTTCAATAAAATATTACTGCAAAGGAAAAAGAAAACCGACCCGGCCATGATAAGCTTTGTGGATTTGATACTGAGCGTTGCCCATAATGCAGAGCATTCCAGCGATGATTCCAAGTGGAAGTGCCGCTTCCAACCATATCCAAGTCATTCTTTCTTTCTTCCTCTCAACGCTGCTTCCACTCTTCTCTTTCCCCTATTCCTTTCCCCTCCAGTTTCTTTTCTTTTCTCAATATCCCCCTTCGCAAGCGCCTCCAGGATAAGAACTACTAAACAGTTCTGCCGGCTTTCAGCCCAACTACTAAATTGGGCCTTGGATCGTGAAATAGATACAAACAAAATAAAATAATTACTTTATAAAAATAAATTAAGATAATTATTACATAATTTAATAAGATAGATGTAATACAATAAAAATAATTATTATGATTTATTATAATATTTCATTGATAAAAATAATTTTGAAATAAAAAAATATCTTATATTTTATATATAATTATTTATTTTTATTTTATTTTATTTTTAAATATTAATAATTTATAATTTATTTTAAATACTAATAATTATTACTTTTAAATATTAATGTTTTATTTATAATTTATTCATTAATATTATAAAATATTTATACTTTATTTATAATTTAGATATTATTATGATTATATAACTTAATTTAATTTTTTAAATATTAATAATTTACAATTTATTTAAAATATTAATAATTAATAATTTACGTATTAATATTTTATTTATAATTTAATCATCAATATTTTAAAATATTATTATTTTTTATATTTAAATATTATTGTGATTATTTATTTTATTTTTTAAATATTAATAATTTATAATTTATTAAAAATATTAGTAATTGATATTTTAAATATTAAAGATTTAATTACAAATATTAATATTGGTAGGGTTGTAAATTGCTAAATTTATGAGGAGGAATTTAATATTAATAATTTTTTAAGCTATGTCATGAGACATGAAATAGCTAATACCAATGAAAAGTTCAGTGTAATTAAAGTAGATTTTTTGTTAATTTTGAGGAATAAGTGAAACAGGGGAATTGCTATTTCTCTTTTTTCTTTTCTCTTTTTTTTTTTTTGGCTTTACAGAAGATATACGTCCGAATTGATTATGGCTGACGTGATACAAGAAAAAAGGTGCCCTTGAATATCAAAATAATTACAATTTTCCTTTTACCATCAAATGCGTCAAACTTTCTATTTTATTGCTGTGTCACACTCTGTTCAATCTAAAACTCTTTTTTTGGTCAATAAAATCTAGGGAAAAATATCATATGCCAAATCTTGAGCTAAGGGCATAGGCGTACAATTTCTTTATCTGCCTTGTTGAGTGATTACGTTTTTGATAGCATCATTAAATCGGAACTCCTCCTGTTACAAAGATGGCACACTGTATGGTAAAAACACTTATATTTATACTTAAAATTGTATTATAATTATTCTTTTGAATTAATTAAATATTTGGTATTCAAATCATAGTGATACTATGGATCCGGCATTTGAAGAAAATAAAATTTTATAAATTAAATACTTCATCTTTTATTTTGTTAAATAAATTACACGTCTTGTTAACTTTATTAATTAAATAATGACTGTGGTAAAAAAAAAACTTAATTATAATGTGTAATGTGTGAAAATGACAAGTCACGTTATCAATTAACGAAGTTAGCAAGATGTACAATCTACTTTATAGAATGAAAGTTTTATATTTCTAATTGTAGATTTCTTTCTTTCTAAGCACTAAATCATTAATTTATTTGTGTTTTAAGTTATGGTATAAATGTGCAATTTCTATATCAACCTTGTTGGAGGGATAACGATTTGAATCGGGTCAGTAAATTCAACCTCTCTTGTTATTGAAATGAATAAATTAATTGATTTTTTTTTATAATTTGAAGAAGGAAAATTTAAATTTTACTTTTTAAATAAAGAGATTATATACCAATTAATAAGTTAAATGTTCATATGCAATGAATAAATTAACCGATTGAATAAATTTTACCTTCAAGTTATTCAACCTAGTTTTATATATTTTTCTCTATTAATATCAAATATCTTTGTAATCATCATTTCTATAATCAAAATTCACAGTAATATATGTGTCTATCCATTTATGTCTACCATTCTAATGTCTAATTTGACATCAAGATTAAGTTTATAAATACTATTGAAATAGAGAGGTGGCGTTATGGTGAGGATATATAAAAAAAAGGGATATTCCACATTTGTTCATTAAAAACAATTACCAAAATCTTATATTTATACATTTCAGTTAAATAGCATTATAATTATTCTTTTGGATAAATTAAATATTTATATTCGAATTAAAATGAAATTGTTAATTCGACATATGAGGAAAAAAATGTTTACAAATTAAATACTTCTACTTTCATTTTGTTAAAGAAAATTGTATCTCTTGTTAACTTTATTAGTCAAATAGTGACCATATTCAAAAATACTTAGTCAAAACATGCTGTGTCTAAAAAGTTTATATTTAAAATGACACATAATGTAATTGATTAATAAAATCAGTAAGATGTACAATCTATTTCATAGAATGAAAGTTTCCTATATCTAGTTGTAGATTTTTCTTTCTTCGAGTACTAAATACTAAATAATTAATTTCATTATTTTTTGAATACTATATATTAGTTAATCTTTATCTTTTCTACATTTTTTTCAATTATTTTTTATCCCACAGGTTTGTTTTAACGTCATTTTTTTTATATCCCAATTCTCTTTTATTCAAATTTTTATTTAATCTTTTATGATGTGGCAATACTTAATCGGACAATGTAATGAAATATAAGGTTTTATAAGCAATCCAGATAAAAAAATTTAAAATTCTTGACAAATACACAGGTTTCCAAGTCATTTGGTTTTTTTTTTCCTTTTTTTTTTCAACTGAAATTATTTTGTTGACTACCTTCAGAACTTTTCACCTTTCACAATTATTAATACATTTGATAGCTAATAAATGACTTTTTTTATTCTTTAATTAATATATTTTATATATTTTTGTTTGTGAAAAAAGAATAATTTATTATTAAATAATAATTAGTAAGTGTGCAAACAGTATGTAACAATTTTGATGAAAAGCAAGTTGGAGGTGAGAAATGGCCAATGGTAAGTCAATCGGGCAAAAGCTCCACGGTCCTAATCCCTCCAAGGGCTTGACCAGCGCAACAATGATTGATCACGCTCTTTCAATTAATGAAATATTGATTGACAGCACCACCTTTGCCCAATTGGCTTATTCTCCACAGCCTTTGTTTTTCCTCCAACCCCCAACAATCATCAACGTCAATTTAATTTAATTTTTTTTCATCTTAACTTTCATTTTTTAGTAAAATAATATATATTTTTTAATTTTGACTAATTTTGTAAATACAAAATAAATTATAAAATTACAGAAAATTCTTTTCATTACACCCGTTGTCGCTATTTTCAATCGCACCGCCTTGGCGAACCGCACCCTGAACTTCATTGAAATTGGGTTGAGAGAGAAGCAGGGGCAGAGACATACGTAAGCCTAGTGTGTGTCAGAAAAGGGGTCAACACCGTGTGCCGCAAAATGCACTAGAAATATCCGAACAAATGGGGAGATGGGAAAGTTAAAAAGGGCAAAATATAGTAAAGAAAAAAGTTAATAAGAAGGCGTTAAAAGGGAAATTTCCTTACCAGGTTAGAGAGTGATCAATTCTTGAACGGCGTCGTTCAGGATGCAACAGAAAAGAGAAATAAATAAAAGAAAGGGTGGAACGTTGTCCACTCTCACGGTCCAGCTAAGACTGCGTTGGCAACATCATTATCATTCGCCATTGGCCTCTTGCATGTGTGGGGTCTCCGTTCTCTCCTCAATACAAATCTGATCCTCTGCATGGTTGACACGTGTCCTCTGATGTTGCAGCGATTCACTGCATTCCTGCGCACACCCAAAATTCTCCAAACTCAGCCAGCCAGCCTGCCTCAAGCACCCGGCACGGCTCAGCAGTAAAAACCGTCTTTCTCTTTCCTACCTTAGAATAGGCTTCCTACTCTTGGCCACTGTGATTTTTTTTTATGGGCGTTTTAATATTATTCTTAAAAAAAGGAAAAGATCGATACATGGTACTCCTGGTAAAAAGTAGTAAAAGCTTTTTGCTGCCAATCTCCACCACTTACCTTAAAAAGATCCACTTGTTTCCACTCTCACTGTCCAAATGCCAAATCTTTACTGCACTCTTTGTATTTTTTTTTTAATTTTATTTTTTTCAAGGCTTTCGTTTGCAGCACCCACTGCTTTGCGAGCCAGGGGCAAAGGGTGAAATGAAATACTACTTCGAAAGAAAATTAGTGGAAAAAAGGGGAAAAAATTAGTAATTAATAAAGATTTGCCTTCCTTTCTGCAAATTTCACAGAGAGCTGTCGACCCTTTTATTGTTTTCTCTTTTCTTTTTTTTTTTCTCTTTTGTTGGCTCTTATTACAAACACCCCCAACCCTTTTATTGATGGTGTTGCATTTATCCTTTTTTCTTCTGCAACAACCACAACTAAAACCCTTTTCTTTTCTATAACCAAAATTCCATTTTTTTGGTTCCTTGAAAGAATCCTCAAAAGCCAAAGCCATGTCAGGTCTGTATAATCCCAACTTCTCACCTGCGAGAGCTGCTTCTCCACAGATTAGAAGCACCGCAGACGTTGACAGGTATGCCCCCACTTCACAAAACAGAAAAGATTACTTAATTCCGGTCTTCTCAACCATATTATTAAAGAGGCTTCATTCTTGCTTATGTTTTTCAATCTCGATTTCTTGTCTTTGCTTTTGGGGTTTAACAGTTTTTTGATCTATGTGGGATTTTGGGTTCTTTTCTTTGTCTTTCCTCAGTCAGTACTTATCAGAGCTGTTGGCAGAGCATCAAAAGCTTGGACCTTTCATGCAAGTCCTTCCGATATGCAGCCGACTGTTAAATCAAGGTTACTTCTTTACTCTCTTACTCTTGGATCTAGGTTTTTTTCTGGGTTTTTTTTTTCCTGCTTTTAATTTACCCATGTTAGATCAGTCTGATTGAGTGTAGTGATGAGATGTTCAAGTGTGTTTCCTTTTCTAATAACTATCTCTTCTGAGTTGTTATGGTCTTCGCTTGATCATGTACTTAACCCAATGTTTGTTAGTTAGCTATGTTTTCCAATGCTGAAACAAGACAATTCCCATCACACCACTGTGTTTTGGATAGTGCCTCAACACTGGAATTAGTTGTTTACAACAGAGTCAGTCAGTGATAGTTGTTCTTTTAATTAAGTAGGCTTAAGTGCCGCTATGCTCAGCTGCCGCACATTCAAGAGTATCAAGAATTTTAAGCCTCAGGTCTACCTGGGTTCTGGTGTGAGTTGTTTTTTCCCCCTTATGATTCAAGTGTTATCAAGATGCATTTGAAGAGATTCTTAAGTTTTGGATTTTGAAAGCTTATTGCATTTCGAGTTTTGCTGATGTCTTGAGAAGAAAGTTTGACTATAGGAAATCCAGACTAGAAAAGGAATAGCATTGTAAGTAGAGATTCAGTAAATATAGGTGAAAGTGTAACAAAAGAAAAAACACAGGACCTGTGCTCTGCTAATTTGAATTTCAGCAAATCTTCTGATGTTTAACCTGAGTGCAAGAATGTTGAGGTAATATTCTTGATAGTTTGGACAAAAAATGATTTTCTGAAGCCTTACACATCCCTTATTCAGCAGCAAACAGGAGCTTATATATTTTTCAGCTGACCTTCCTAATATCAAAATTCATATTCTTTCCATTTTTTAGGATGTTTTCAAAATCTAAGGTTTTTTTTTTTTTTTGGTTATGAGTCTTACCTTAAAATGGCAGTTAACAGAAATCTGTTTTATTTTACTTGTGGTCAATGTTTTATCCATACTTTACAACCTTCATTCCACTGTGGTCCTCTTACATCTTTCTAATTTGATTTTGGATGCTATTTCCCTTTCATGTGTTGATGTATTTTCATAACTTTATCTGTTTCTCATTTATAATGGCCTTCCTATGCAGAGATATTTCGAGTCTCAGGAATGATGTCCAACCAAGGATTTGGTGACTTTGACCGGATGCGGCATAGAAGCCCCAGTCCCATGGCTTCTTCAAACCTTATTTCAAATGTTTCTGGGACAGGATTAGGCGGCTGGAATAGTCTTCCTCAAGAGGTAACTATTTATAAATTTCACTGTAGTGTCTTTATTTTGAATATATATATCTTTACATTTCTCTTGTTTGGTTGATTGAATATGTTCTTTTGAATGCAATATTTGGGTGAACTAAGTGACAAGTTGTTTTTCCTTTTGATTCTCTGACATACGCTTTAAGAGTAATTTTGGTAAACACCATTATAATTTGAGTGTCAAACATTGCAAAGGAGAATCATAACATGCTGAAATCTTGTTGTCCTTCAGCATTATAAAGATCACGAGCAAACAATAAAGTTTGAAGTGGTTTCTTTTTTATTTGTATGATCAATAAGCTTTAAAATCAGCTCTTCCAGTTTTATTTGTGCTTTAAATTGCAGACCATGTGAAAAGGATTTTGTTTTTATTTTCCTGCTACTGTCATTTATACCTTATCTGACACATTATACGTACCGTTCCTCTCTTCAGGAAATACATGACGAAATGCATGCCCACGTGACCCATATTGGTGTGTACATAGTCATATAGGAATGAACGTATATGTTAATTCGAATACTATCTGACTGTTCTATGACTATGGCTTCTGATTTTGGTTGCTGTGTTCCATTCATTAAAAATGGCTAAATTGTCACTAAATGAAGCTATGAAAGCATTCCTGCCCAATGGTGAATATCTGAATTTCGTATTAACCCTCTTTGCATCTGGTTGATGACTCAAGCACAATGATTGTTTAATCTCCTATATTCTACTTAATGATGATCCTTTCAAATAACACAGATGAGAACCAAGTTTATTTCCTGTCCAAAATGCTATGGTTTGCGAAATGGTAGATTAATGTGCTTGAACTGCAAAAGGCTCTGCTCAATTCTAATAATGGCTATCTATCCGTTCATTTCTGGTTTCTAAGGTGTATTCAACTTTTGTTCCCTTTTTTCCCCTTTTCTTCTTTCAATTGGTGAACATTCTAAATCTCTTTTGTAACATTTTGGTACCTGTACTTTATATGAAGCATTGGGAAACGTATTCTCTTGGAAAGTCGAGTGTGTTTGCGTGCGCAAGGGTTATTTCAAGCTAAAACTTGTTTTAATATTTTGCTTCCAGTTATCTGGATTGAGCCTACTGATCTTTTGTGCTCCTGTTGCTTTGTATTTTGACAGAGACTAAGTGGACCTCCTGGGATGACAATGGACTGGCAAGGTGCACCAGCAAGCCCTAGTTCATACACCGTGAAGAGGATTTTGCGTCTAGAAATTCCTGTTGATACATATCCAAATGTAAGCTTTATATGAAAAATGCTAGTGCATTAGATTAAAATTTGTTTATTAATCATATTCTCATGTTTCAACTGAATGAAACAAACATTTTATGAGTATGAATACTGATGTTTAGAATCTGCTTTTCCTTTGTTGTCAGTTCAATTTTGTTGGACGGCTTCTAGGCCCTAGAGGCAATTCATTAAAACGGGTAGAAGCTACGACTGGCTGCCGTGTATACATTAGAGGCAAGGGATCTATAAAGGATCCAGACAAGGTAAAGCTGCAAAGTTATAGTTACTATTGTTGTTGTTGTTGAAAAGGTCTGATACCGCTAATTTCTGCTATATCTTAATTGTGATTCAGCTGAAACTGACAGAAAGATGCAATGAATATCTCGATGGCTGCATCCAATTCCCCGCCTATTTTTTACTTAACCTTTTCTTTTGACATATAAATTGAATAATTTTGGATAATAATTTCCCATCTTTTCCATCTGAAGGAAGAGAAGCTCAGAGGCAGACCTGGCTATGAGCACCTGAATGATCCACTCCACATCTTAATTGAGGCTGATTTACCTGCTAATATTGTTGATATAAGGCTTAGACAGGCACAGGAAATCATAGAGGAATTACTGAAACCTGTGGTATGTAGCACCAATCTTCTTCTTCACTTCTATGATGTTTATTAGCCATAGGTTGTTGTCTCCTATGCTTCCTTCTTGAAACTCCATTATTTGTCATAAAATTACCTGTTTTTGCTTGTGGAAAGCTATTTCCTGTGTCAGAAACTTCGGCATCCTCACAATTGTGCTGCAGGACGATTTTCCTTTGATTTGTCTGAACTTTGGATATATTTCCAGACATAGTTTGAAAACGGAATAATTTTTTTGAAGTATATGCATCCAATCATAAGTCTTCAGAGAAAATTTAAGCGTTCTGTTTAATAATTTTTTTTATGTTTCTTGAAGTGAGGAATGAACGAGATCTCTAGTCATTGGAAAATATCATTTGCTTGCCTACACCAAATCCAATCTGTCTTTCCCAAATGATTGAACACTCAATTTGCAATCCAAATGACTTTGGTTTAGGGGGAAAAAAGAGTGTACTTAGATAGCAGCCTAACTTCAAACTCTGTTGATTCATAACATTTGGTGCATAAAACACCTTTTCTCTGTGCTCATATGTCACACAGGGAAGTGTCTCACATTTGGTTTTCCTTTTATCAACTTGCAGGCATCATTGTGTTAAACTGTTATTGTTAATAAATATTTTCATCCTGTATTTTCTAAATGTCATATTCTTATATGTAGGATGAGTCACAAGATTTTATCAAGAGGCAGCAGTTGCGTGAACTGGCAATGTTAAATTCCAATTTCAGAGAGGAGAGTCCTGGTCCAAGTGGTAGTGTTTCTCCTTTTAATTCCAGTGGAATGAAACGTCCCAAAACAGGACGCTGAGAATTTAATTATAAATTTTCTGAAAAATGTTTCTACCCTACTCCAGAATTTCATAGCCATGTATACCTTCTGTTACATATCAGTTCAGCAGAGCTTGAAAAGATTAGGCTAACAGTTCTTGCTGGTGAGCTTTCTGGTGGGTTCTTCATTATTAAATTGTTTTGCTTTTTGGCAAAAGAAAAACAAAAATGAAAAAAAAGAAAACATTTAAAAAATGAATTATATAGTTGGCTCTCGGAGTTTAGGTTTGGTGAGGTCAGTTTTTCTGTAAACTCAATACATTCATTGGATTTATTCTTGTGTTATTAGCTTTAAGGAGTGTGCAATATATATTTTCTGTTGCAAGCATTCGGCCTTGTGAGGTGGGATTGAGTTTTGTAGGTGTGTCATGTTTGTTGTTCCATTGTAGTTTATATGAAGCATAGAAAATGTAAGTTGGGTCCCATATTCTTTTTCTTTTTTTTTTTGTTGACAATCTTGAACTATATAGGATCTTCCCTTCTCTCTTGAGTCAATTTTTTTTAATAAAGTAGTTAGAATTTTTACTTGGGAGATTATTATGGCCCATGCACCTTCTCGTATTGGCTGGAATTTGTATCTTTAAAAGCTTTGATGAAGAAAGGTTGTTCAAAGATTCTGAACTTATCATCTGTTGCTTTGCAGCCTTTGCACAAATGTGGCATATTCAAAAAAGAAAATTAAAATAGAAAAAACTAGCTAGGTTATGTGGCTGAATATTATTGTGTTTGCTGAAGTCTATCCTTTGGGGGTATTTTCAGAAAGATCCAAGTTACCCTACCATTGTTTCTCATGTTTTGCAAGCAAAGCAACAGAGAAGATTCATGTGGGAAACATGCTGGAGTTCTGCTCAAGTGAGGAGTTTGGGTTAACATGTTTAGGTATTTTCTCCTGTTATTAAAATGAATAAAAGTGGGGGAATATTGAATATTATTTGAGACCTTGGTTTCTACTTCACCTGAAACTAGACCCCATTCGGACTGAAAGAGAAAGGGAGAAAACCCAACATATGTTGTCAACAATGGGAAGGTGAGTGAGGAAAAACTAGTAATAATGAAGGGGCATCCTGGAATAATGAATGAACCTTCCACTGAGAAACGTATGCTCAGCCGCCAAAATGAGCGTTTGAGGTGAAACTTGTTTGGATCCAACATAAGCATTCATTTGTTTTAATTAAGTTTTCCTTGCCCTTTTGCTTGTTAGACTGGGGCTGATGATTCATGGTTTTTAAGTATCTAATCTAGTAGTAGGATTAGCATTCAGTTGAGGAGAGGAAAACGTTAGCTTTCACGTGTGTAAGACAAAGCTCGAACATGGCTTATAATCTATTTGTCACGGGGTTATTACTCTCTTCCTCATAAACGTGTTTATAGGAGTGTGCAGCACACCCGCTTATAAGGAGCCCGAACATGGCTTATAGTCCACTTGTCACGGGGTTATTACTCTTTCTTCCGTAAACGCGTTTATAGGAGTGTGCAGTACACCCGCTTATAAGGAGCTCAGGACTTTTTGTTCTTGTCTGATGTGGGATAGAGGCACTTTTCTCGTGACACTCTCTTCCACCCGATTCCGGCAACGCCCTCGTTGTCGTAGGCCACCTTGCCTACCCTGAGTCTCCTTGGACCTAGGCGGCTGCTATCTTCTGCATTGATCACCTATGTGTGGAATTGCGGTCTTGTTGCTTAGGCATGACCTATTTGTTTTCTTCTTTCTGCTGCCAGTGTTGCAGAATCTTGGTGCATGACCTGTCAGTCTCTATCCTTTCGAGTGAATTTCTTCGATTGTGGAACTTTTATTTGGTTCCTGCCCTCTCTATTGAAGCTAGGATTAGACATCTCTATGGGCTTATTGTGCTGTGACTTATCTCGATTTATGTCTTGCGGTCTTTGTGTTAGCATTTTATGATTAAGACTAATGTGTCTTATTGTCATCCAAATCACTTATTTGCGTTATCTCTGTTGGCATATTTAGCCTAGTGTTGATTGGCGTAACATTAATCTTGATGTGTTATTCGTTTGTGAGTGTATCAATGTTAACCTAAGTGTTATTGTGGCGTGAGGCACCTTGCCTACCCTGAGTCTCCTTGGACCTAGGCGCTTGGCGTGAGTCAGACGAGGTTCGGTCCGCTCTGATACCACTTGTCACGGGGTCATTACCCTCTCTCCCATAAATGAGCTTATAGGGGTGTGCAGCACACCTGCTTATAAAGAACCCAGGACCTCCCGTTTTTGTTCGATGTGGAATAGAGGCACTTTCCTCGTGACACTCTAACTTGTCACGGGGTCATTACTCTTTTCCCCATAAACGCGTTTATAGGGGTGTGCAACACACCCGCTTATAATGGGCCCAGGACCTCCCGTTCCTGTCCGATGTGGGATAGAAGTACTTTCCTCGTGACACTTTCTCCCACTCGATTTCGGCAACGTCCTTGTTGCCATCAGCCACCCTGCCTACCCTGAGTCCTCTTGGGCCGGGGTGCTTGGCGTGAGTTAGATGAGGTTCGGTCCACTCTGATATCACTTGTCACGGGGTCATTACCCTCTTTACCATAAACGCGCTTATAGGAGTGTGTAGCACACCCGTTTATAAGGAACTCAAGACCACCCGTTCCTGTCCGATGTGGGATAGAGGCACTTTTCTCGTGACACACTGCCCATGTGAATGCTTATCTCCCAGAAATTAGGATTGTTTACTTGCCGGATCAGCCAACTGTCCCAATTAGGGGTTAGTAAATAGATGGATTGGGCAGTTACACTAAATGAATGAAACATTCTCATAAAGTTGATCAAAATTGATTAAACATCAAACCGATTAAATATAAAATTAATTTGGTTAATTTGATTTTAAATCAATAGATCAAAATTTTAATTTTTTTTACAAATTATAATATTAAAACATATAAATTTCATTCATAATTATAAAATATATAAATTATGTATAAATTAAATGTATGTATATATAATATTTTATTTTATTATATATATAAAATTAATGACACAACTTATATTTTATAATATTTTAATTTTTATATCAAAGTTTGTATAAATAATAACCAATTATAAATAATATATTATAAAAATTAAAATGATAACTAATAAAATTATTAAGTGTAAACATATAAATAAAGTCTATTATAAGTTACAGTATGTTTATATATAAATTAACTATATAAAAAAATAAAATTAATGACACAATTTATATGTTATAATGTTTTATATTAAAGTTCGTATAAATAATAACTAATTATAAATAATATGTTATAAAAACTAAGATGATAATTAATAAAATTATTAAGTGTAATAATATAAATTAAGTTTATTATAAGTTATAGTAATGTTTATATATAAATTAAATATATATATAATTTTAATACAATTATATATATATTTATGATATTTTATATTATGAAACATTATTAAGGTGCAATAATTATAATATGTTAATATGTAAGATATTTACTATCATATATTATAATATTAATATATATAAGTTATATCATTTAAGCAATATAACTTATAGTTCCATATTAATACATATTTATAAATAAATATATAAATAATTAAAATTAAATTGCTATGATTATGATTTGTATATATATATATATATAATAAACTAATATATTTTAAGTATATTATTATTTGAGTTTATTATTAATTCTTTTTAATATATATAAAAAATTAGTTTTATTTTTTGGGTGGATTGGTCTAAAATTTTTAAAATTAATAACCAATCAATAACTCATTTCAACAAAACATTTTAAATCAATTGATCCAATAGACCAATTAGATCGAACCATTTTATCCAAATTTTATTTGATTTGAGTAGGTAAGTGGTCTGATTTGGTTTTACTTACTCTCAGTCCCAACCATGGCATTCCATCTTTGCTTCTTGTGTTAAGATTGAATAGGTAAATGACAAGCAATTATTAAACAATTTGATCGAGAATTGAACTAGTAGTGTTATCAGATTTTGGTTTAATCTATTGGTTCATTCCTATTTTTTTTAAAAAAATAGCATTAAATGTTTATTAAATATGATGAGAAAATATTCAAAAATATATTTGACTAAATGATTAGACTTTTATTAAAATTTAAGAGAAAACGGGTTCAAATCTTTGCTCGTTTAAGAAAATTTAAAAACAAAAAGTGAGAAATTTTAAGAAAAAACCCGTTCAAAAAGTCAACCAAAATCCATACAATTTTCTAATAACTTGGTCGGATGTTCTCAACATTAATGACTTGCCAACTCATAAGTTTTTTATATATTAATTGAAGGTATAATATCTAAACCTATCTCCAAATTGTTTAAAAATTTTCAAATAAATTTTTATATTTTTATTGCATTTAATCAAATTTTTGTTTTTTTATTTTGAGTGAAATAAGTTTTTATATTTTTATTTTTAAGTCAAATGAATCCTCATAATGAATAATTAACTTTGTCAAAATATTATTTATCATTATATTTAGCGTGGCATTAACGTATCATGTTAACATATTATAGTTGATGATTATATAACATATTGACATATCATAATTGATTACTATGTGAATAACATAATCACCCGAAACTTTTTACCTTCTACATCAACTTCATGTTAGTGCTATGTGGATATAAAATAGCAAGTGATATTTTGAATAATGATAATTAGTCAATCATTAGTTATAAGAGTTTATTTGATCTAAAATAAAAATACAAAAATTTGATTGAATGTAATTAAAGAATAAAGGTCTATTTGAATTTCCTTGAATAATTTAGAAGTTTATTTGAGCATTAGGCCTTAATTAAATGTGAGATTATATAAATGCCAAGTCTAAAATTGTACTCTAACCGATTTAAGACTTTGCTATTAGAGAAATAGTTTTTTATTAGCGTCAGAAGCCAAACTTAATAATGGTTAGTAAAACTTGAATTGGATAAAATGACTCGCTCAAACTCAACTTGATTTAATTAGAACATAATATCTAAAAAAATCTTTAAAATTATTTAAAAAAATTTAAATAAATCTTTATACTTTTATTACATTAAACTTTGTTAATTTTATATCATATGACATTGATATAACATGAACATAATACTAACGTGATATGTTAACACATTATAATGGATAATGACATAACATCTTAATATGATATGATGATATAGTTATATCATATTTTTTACTTTTCGATCAACGCAACGTTAGCACTACATAAATATAAAAATTAATTTATAAAAATTTATTTAATCCAAAATAAAAGATATAAAAATTTGATTGAATGTAATAATAATAAAATTTATTTAAATTTTCTTAAATAATTAATTTTTAAAAAATATTATGTCTTTAATTAATGACTTGAACTGGAATAAATCAGACTTAATAAATTGAATTGCCACTTCTAAAGGAAGTTATCAAATATATTATTGATAAAAATATCAAAATCTCTTGAAATTTGATGGAAATTATACACCCATGGGAAGAAGTGAGAAGCGTGGTGGGAGATGGGGATGGAGGGAATGATAATGTTACAGTGAAAGGTAGTTTTGGTGGGCCGTCGCCATGGAAGGGAATAAATTAAAACGATAACCTTTTTGGGAATTTGCCAAAAGGTTTGGACTGGACGGAAAAACGACGGGCCTTGAATTGTTTTTTGTTAGGGCTTTAGGTTTAAGTTACGTTAACCCTTTTCCCTCTTCACTCTATATAAATGAACTCTTACTCTTTCGTCTTCACCTAACTTGTCCCAGTGCATCCCTCCCTCTGCAAATATCATAATAATTCCTTCTCTTTTAGGTACATTTCTCATATCCTCTCTCTATATGTTGCTCTTTTGTATTTTTTAACAGTAAAAGTGAAGAACGTTGCCTGAATCATATCAGGTCTAACTCACAAAGCCTTTGGTTTGTGGATCTCATGTTTTTTATTGCATTATAGACATGTTGATAAATAAAATGTTTTCTAAAAGGAAAGAATCCATGCAGGTTTAGATTAAGGCTTTGTGGAGTTGAGTTTGAGGAATCAAATTTTATCGAATCTAAGTAAGTGGATCGATCGATCAGATGGCGTCCCTGGCTCGGTATCGGTTCTCGATGCTAACGAGGCAATTCCCTAACATGGGTGAGAGCCGCCGTTTCAAATCACAATCAGTAGATGTTGTTTCAGTCCCTCAAAACCAATCAATCCGCTTTCTGAACACCAAGATTTCCAATCCCAAACTTCAAATTCCATGTGCTGGAGGAGGAGGCGATGCAGACGGTGGGATCGGTAGGAGCGGAGGAGGCGGCGGAGGAGGTAGAGGAGATGACCAGTCCAATTCGAATTCCAACGACAATTCATGGCAGGGTGTTGGCATTCTGGGTCTTTTCCTAAGCGGCTGGAGAGATAGGGTTGCAGCAGATCCCCAGTTTCCATTCAAGGTTATAATGGAAGAGTTAGTGGGAGTCAGTGCTTGTGTTCTTGGGGACATGGCTTCTCGTCCTAACTTTGGTCTTAACGAGCTTGATTTCGTTTTCTCAACTCTCATTGTGGGTTCCATATTGAATTTCACTCTCATGTATCTCTTGGCACCAACAGCCTCCGCTGCTTCTTCAAGTCTCCCTGCCATCTTTGCAAATTGCCCACAAAGTCATATGTTCGAACCGGGCGCTTATACATTCATGAACCGTTTAGGGACTTTTGTCTTCAAAGGGACTGTGTTTGCTGCTGTTGGATTCGCTGCAGGCCTTGTTGGAACCGCAATCTCTAATGGGTTGATCAAGATGAGGAAGAAAATGGATCCCAGCTTCGAAACACCCAACAAGGCTCCTCCTACCTTGTTGAATGCTCTCACCTGGGCTATTCACATGGGTGTTAGCAGCAATTTGAGGTACCAAACCTTGAATGGGATAGAGTTTCTGTTGGCGAAGGGAGTCCCCCCGTTGGTATTTAAGTCATCAGTGGTGGTTCTGAGATGCTTAAATAACATACTTGGAGGAATGTCATTCGTAATATTGGCAAGGATGACAGGATCACAGAGTGTTGAAGCGAAGCCAGCGATGGTTGAGGTTGGATCTGTTGCCGAGAAGGAGAAGTTGGTGGTCGAAGGTGACAACTTGGACACCAATCAGTCAACTTTCAAGTGATTTCAAACTCTTTTTTAAAAAAAAAAAAAAGAAAAAAGAAAAAACCTCTGGGCAGTTTTAAGTTTTAGGCATTTTGTCCGCCCGTGTCCGTAGCTTGGATGTAACATGTGATCATAATTAATACTTGGAATAAGATCCAGTGTATCCGGGTTTGATGCCATAATCGTTCTTCGTGGGTGGGTTGAGATACAGCCCCTAGATTGTCTTTCCGTTGCTATTTCTCGTCATTTTCAAAGTTATAAAGCTGCTTTACCTCAACGAGGTAGAGGTTACCATCTCCTTGTTTTTGACAGCCTTTGACCTGTTGCAAAAACTGCTCCGCGGTGCTTAGCAGCAGTCAGTGGCTTTTTGGCTCTGTTATTACAAACAGCCCTAGCATTGCCCGTGGACAGTCGTGAGGTTGTTTGGATCGACGGGTGGCCCTGAAAAGTCACGTTATGATCATTCAACTGTCTTTTTTCCTCCTTCGCTGAATGGTTTCCTGACCGGATTTGAATAAAGATTAGTTATAAGTTTTATCTATTATATCATTTTTTAAAAAAGAAAAATGAAAGAAGAAAACTGTTCAAAGGGAACTTTTCTATTCACCACTGCGAGAATCGATGAACAATCTGACATGAACTCTGTCTCAATGTAAACATTCTTAGTCAGAACTAAGGTCTCATGTGATTTAAAATCCAAGGGAAGCCCAACGAGCATTCCCAATCCCTGCCTTATCCGTTAAAAATGTGTAGTAAGACGAAAAACTAGTGTACAATAGAAACCCCCATCTTCTCATGTTGAACTGTAAATCCCACTGAGGCCTTCGTTCATATCTTTTCTTCTCGAGATTCTGTTCCACAAATCAACAAGTAAACACTTCTGCAATATGTCATACTTGAGCATTGTTAAAAGCACTATGGTGCTTGAGCACAATCATCTTATCTTACAGCCTCTGGAGCAGAATTGCAGTAGGGTGTGTGCAAGCAGACTAACTTGGTGCATGTTAAACACACAGTAGCAAAACCAACTCCTACTGCAAGCCCACAACTGCTTTTCCGCATATCCAACCTCATTGCTCTTTGAACTATTCTAACAAAGCATGGGAGCAATCCTCCACATGCCAAAACCATCACATGGTCAAGACCGCTGTAGTCAATCCCTGCCAATATTGCTGCGATTGCAGATATTGGGCCTACAAAGCCAATAAGAGCAGCTGCTGCAAGAGAGCCATGCCAACTGTCAGTAGCTCCAAAGATGCAGCTGGCCACTGCCGCACCACGAGGAAGCCCATGGAGGGAGACAGGAAGGACCATGTGTCGACCAAGTCCATAAGCTTTTGGTGCAGCCACTCCTAGCGCAAGCCCCTCAGCCAGAGCATGGAAAGCCACGGCTCCACATGCTAAAAAAGACTGAAGTGTGAGAACACTCACAGGAAATCCTGTTACTGAGGGTAGGTTATTTGAAGAAGCTCTTTTGTTACACACAATCTTCAAAATACTAGAGCTTGAAACGTGGACAAATGCAGCGCCTACAATAAGAAGCGACATAAGCGGGAAGAATCCCATCTTTAAAGACAGAAGTAGTTGCAGTGGCCGCCAGGCACCAAGGATGAAGGCAATGCCAGATGCAGCACCCATGAGAAGGGCATGTTGAAGGCGGAAAGCAAGAGCAAATGCAACAAGTACAAGGCCTCCCAGCAAAGGTCCAAGACCAAAAAGTAACGAAACAAAGAAGCCAGAAGCATCCTCAGAACTGAATATTTGATAAAAAATATAATTAGTTAGTGAGGAGACAAAATGAAATCACAATAAACTAGTTAAGAGTAGGGTTGGCATTTAAAACAAAAAGATGGACAAGATTGCATTAGGGGCAACAAGCCCGCACATCAAGCCTAATACAAGCTACATGATCAGGCATCCATATGAATCAACTTAAATTGTCATATCACACTAAAAAACCACGGCCATGCCATCAGAGAATTATACAAAATGGAAAATAGGCTCTAAAAGCACAAAAAAGTATAATATTGTTAAAAGAGTTTTCAAATCATCAGTAATATTCAGAAGATTAAACTCCAGCAAGATGCAGGATAGTTAATAGCAAGGAAACCTAAAGTAGTTGCATTACTCATGCAATAATGTTATATCAGGCCACACACTCTTCTCAACAAACTATTTTTCAAACAACTCACTTGTAGTCATGACTGAAGTTCTGGAACAGAGTGCTTAGAGCTTCCATAAATGCTACTGAAATTGTAGCTGCTGATGCCACTGGAGTCGGAGAAGCCTCCTATTAAGAGAAGGGTCTAACAGGATTAGTCTCTTCCTATTTACAATTTTCTATTTAAATAAAAGTGGTTTTAGCCTTTTAAGCTTTGCACAAGAGAGAAACTGAAGACGATGGCAGTTGTAGCTATTCATTAGCACAGCTTGGGAAGTTCTTTATAGTGTTCTTGACAGGATACAAAGCAAAATAGAACAAAAGGTCTTGAAAGATTATTGCAGGCATGAATCCTCATCCTTGAAGATCCAAAAATATATTTTAAGTGCAATAAGTGAAGTCACCTTAAATGCGTCAGGGAGAACCTCAGCAACGACCATCCAGATCATACATCCAGCGGCAAAACCAGTACAAAAGGGAAGGAATTTATTAAATGCATCGGCACATATAAAAGAAGGAACTGCTACAATGGGCTGCAAAAAAAAAAAAAAAAATGATAAGCGAATAAACAACTATTTGAGGAAGTAGAAATTGTACTCAAATAGGAACAAAACTTTAATTGATTTACCCTCTCATAAATCTGATCCTTAATATTTTGATTTTTATTCTTTCTTTTGCTAATTTCAACAGATGACACCATCACATTGTAAGATCAATCAAGCATGCACTTGACAGTTTGTAAAAATGGTTTCGATCACCTAGATAAAGAAGTGGTTCTTCACTCAACGTCTGTTGAAAGTGGATCCTCCATTTAAAATACTTACCATGCTCTTTATTTTAAACAACCTTCCTACTTCACCATTGCTTCTTTTACTTTTCTTTCTAAACCAGATCTTGAAAGTTCTAAGTTAGAACTGCTTTCCTTTGATATGGATAGATACTTTCAAAGCCTGACAAACAGCACTAAATGATTAGATACCTGGGGTAAGGATGTAATTACACTCCATAGCATTGCGTTCTGTGGAGAAACACCCCTTGACGCAAGCACCATGCTTACAGCCAATCCCTCTGGTATGTTGTGTACAGCTATCGCCAAAGTAACCAAAAGGCCTTGAGTAAAACCCTTTGAGCCAGCAAAGGAAACTCCAACACCAGAGCCCTCCCCAAATGAATGGAGGGTCATAATTCCAATGACAAGAACAATTTTAGTTGCTTCTGCTCCTTTTATGTCCAGCATACTTACATCACCATATTGTTCAAGAAACTGAAACCCAGAAATGATGGGAAACATAATAAGATGTTAACATTACCTACAAATACAAAGACACACCACAAGAATACAAGTTAAAGAGAGAGCATTGTATATGACATGCAAAATCAGCAGCCTTAAAGTCTCTGCAGAAGCATTACTGATCCTCTTCCGTGATAAGTGAGAAAAAATGGAAAACCCTTTTTCATTTGCAAGGTCTGGAATAGAACCTTGACATCATAACATGTTTGAAGTATGTCTATAGGCATTGAAGGTGGGGCAAGAAAAGCGGCCCTTTATGAGAACCTAGGTATATCAGAATTCAGGTTTATTCAGACATCATATTAGTTTATTTAAGGAAAATAAATTAGCATGGCTATTGGTCGAAAAGGAAAATAAATTAGCATGCCTATTTGGTCAAAAATATAAAGATGAGATGAAAATAGTGGATAGTGGAAGAAAGCAGAGAAGCAGCCAACGGTTCCACAATGGCATTAGATCAAACTTAATAACAGAAATTAGAGACAGTGATCACCTTCTTACAAAGCAAGATAAAAATGCCACCTGCTAAAATCCCAATCACAACCCAACTTCCAGCACCATGTTCCTGCCCTTCCTGTATGAGATCAAAACTTGCAGCCAACATGACCCCAGCAGCCATTCCATTGCATATCCCAGCCCACTGAGGATCGAGCTCCACAAAGAAAAAAGGAACTGCACCTAAACCAGTTGCTGCAGCCATTGCTAATGTAAACAGTGCAACTGTGGACACAGAAACTCTGTTGTAACTACCCTTCCAGTCAACCATTGCATTGTCGTTCTCTTCAAAATTTATGACCTTCTCTGTACCTGTGCCATCGATAACATTGTTTCCCACATTTTTGTGGGGAGCTTTTATTCTTTGTGAAATTTCATTTTGACCATCTGCTGTAATGCATTCAAGGAAGACCACGAGGAAGAACAAAAAGAGAAACAGATGCTTGAATCTAAACTGCATTGTCTTTATCATCCCCACAAATCTATCACCAATAATGAAAGTTATTAATCAAATGGAATTCCCCTGCTCGGAATCCAGAAAAGTCAGAAATCAGAAGTAGGAAGCCGATCCTGCAGTATGCTTGGAAACGCGCCTGCGCAACATATGCTGCGATTAAAAAGCAGAATTTTCGTGAAAAGCCAAGTTTTGTCAACGAAATGACTCAACATGACCTGGAAGGGCCATTGAGGCTTTGACAACAAGAACAATCGGAAGTAAACTACGAAAAACAACTGGAACAAAAATCCTCCAGAGCTATAGTCCAATACATTTGAGACTAAAATGAAAATTAGATGATCCTAAAGAAACAGTACATTGTCATCTGAAACAATCAACCTGATCATCATTTCAACTTAGCAGAAACTTCCCAAGATAAGAAAATCCCGACAAAAATCGAAAACCCTAATTGATAAGATGAGTAATCAAGACCCTAACATGAACCAAGATGTATCCTTAAGAATCCCCACTTCCCCAATTCAAACGAAAAACTTCTTTTTTTTCCTCTCTCTTTCTCTCGAACAGTCCTGTAAACCTTAAACGAAAGGGAGTGAAACAAATTGAATGGTGGAAAAAGAAAGCCCTGAATTTTGCGATCAGGGACAGATTTTCAAAATTAATAATTTGATTGAAGAATTAAAAAAGAAAAAGAAAACCGAAATCAGATTAAAAAAAACTCCCCAAAAAAACGAAACGTACCTGCAGGACAAGAGCGCTTCCAAACAAAAAACCGAGC